TATTATATTATAATAAATTTTTATTTATTATAATATATATTTTATATAATAGTTATATTATATTATAATAAATTTTTATTTATTATAATATATATGTATATATAATATAATAATAATATAATATAATAATAATGTAATATAATATAATAATAATAATAATATGTATTTAATATAATATTCAATATATATTTTATTATATTATTATAATAATACAATATAATTATTCTATATATAATTATTATAAATATAATTTTATTATATTATCATAAAAAAAATTGTTGCAAAAATAATTCTATTTGGTTAATATAAATATCATTGTTTAATTAATTTTTAATTCATATCATTGTTAAATTAATTTTTTTTTATTTTGTATTGTCAGATCGTATTGTGACGGATAATGGGTTAAATTATGCATGACGATTATCCTCAATTACAAATCTTCATTTGATTTTTTTATTACCTTTATCTTTTACTTCATTTCTTTTCTTTTTTCTCTCTCTCTCTCTCTCTCTCTCTCTCTCTCTTTCTGTTTTTCTTTCTTTCAATTTAATCTTTTTATTTTTATTTTTTTTCATCGACCTGTGTGAACTTTACGAAGGTGAACATAAAAAAACCGTGGGGGAAAAAAGAGGATATGAACGAAAAAGATTTTTACGAGGGCAAAAGTAATATAATTTTAGCGACTCCTTCAGAAGCGCAATCGACTGGCGTAAGTAAATCCGAACGACGTTCAAGGACGTCCTATTCAAGTATGTACATACCATACCATACGACGATCAAGATCTATCGATCTATCTCAAAGCTTACTACACGTACGTAATACGAAAGGAAATACGAGAGAGAGAGAGAGAGAGAGAGAGAGAGAGAAAGAGAGAGAGAAAGAGAGCGTGTAGTAGAAGTGGTGGAAAATTTTCGATTCAACGATAAGTTGGAAAAATATGCAAGAAAAACGGGAGTGAGAAAGATAGAAGTTAGGAAAACACACGGGTGAGAGTGAGAGAGAGATAAAAAAGGGAAGAAGGGTAAAAAGAGTGAGAGAGAGAGAGAGAGAGAGGGAGAAGGTTATAAGAGAGAATCTTTCGGCGCTTCGTCCAAGGGTGCTTTCGTTCGCAGTAAACTGTGATTTACGTTGGTTCGTAAAAGGCGTCTGCCGTGACACGATATTACCGATTCAGAGTGTTTATATCGATCGAAAGTAAACCCCCGTGTTGCATTCCACTACCATGCTGGATACAACGGTAATAATCGGTGAACTTAAGGACGGTGTTTTGGCTTCAAAGATAGATAGAGAGTATGTATGTGTGTGTGTGTAAGAGAAGACGAACAACATAGTATCCAGTTCAAATTCTCACTATGACACAAAGGGAAAGTAGGATTTTAGTAGATCGTAAAGCATTTGCTTGAAAATACGCTTTCAAATCCATCAAAAGCGATAAGATAATAAATAATGATAATAACAAGGATGACTTCGTTGATGCATAATACTACGAAGTATGCGTAATAATTATGAATTAGAGCTGATAAGTTGTTGATATGAATTACACTTTATTTTTATTATTATTAGTTAATATCAAACCTTTTGATAAGGTAAAGCATCGAATCAAGTTGAATATACTGTTTAGTTAGGTTTGAAAAAACATAAGTAAAAAATTATTATTTCTAAATTTTAAAATATGTATTATTGGAAATTTAAATATTTAGTAAAAATTGTATTAGGAATGTTTATTTAAAATAGTTAGCGAAATTCCTGTATTCTGTATAAGAAAGAAATGATGTCATTTAGAAATAATTTGACATATTTATATTTATATTTAGTTTTTATTATATATATTATATATTATATATTATATATATATATATATTATTATATATAATAATAATTATAATATATATTATATTATTTACTTTAGAAAATAATATAATTTTATTTGGTTACCACTAAACTTTCGTTTCGATTTATAAATAAATATTTATTTTTTATAAAAATAATGTATAAATTAAATTAATATTATAATAATTAATATATATTATATTATTTTATTATTATTTTATATTTTATTAATTAATATATATTATATACTACTTACTTTAGAAAATAATATAATTTTATTTGGTTACCACTAAACTTTCGTGTCGATTTATAAATAAGTATTCATTTAATAATTCAATTAATTTATAACTTGTAAAAATAATAATATAAAATAATTATAAAATAATATATAATAATAATAATATATAATAATTATAAAAATAATATATAAATTAATTGAATTTATTAAAAATAATAAATATAAATTTATTTAATTATTATAATATAAAATATTTTGCATATCTATTATTTAATAAATCGTCACGATCTTTTCGAACAATTAAATAATATTAAAAATATTCTAAAAAATAATATGAACATTCCACGAACAATAATTAATCATAGTTCATTACTGAAAACGTAAAAATTCTTCATCCTGTTCTATTACTACATTAGTCAGCAAAATCTTAAGATGAATTCGATCAATTCATTTTTATCTTTTCAGTTCCACCAATGCTATCTATTCCAAATCAATTGGAAGCAGCCTATATCGGACAAGAGGTTACTCTCGAGTGTCACATCGAAGCTTTTCCAACAGCCATTAATTATTGGACTACGGAGAACGGGGATATGATTGTCTCAGGTAATTCTCGATTTTATTACCCTTGCGTTTATCTTTTACGATAACATCGAAGCATGCACTTTCATTTTATCTTTTTATCGATACTTACTAACGCGCTAAACTTTAACACAAGAGAAAAATAAAGAAGAAGAAACATTCATACTTACACCCACTCAAACACACACACACATAAGTGTATTTTTAACAATTTTCAAGTTATCAAAAGATCGACTATTAACCTTTACTCGTACCTATGTAATTACAGTTAACGAGCGGGCAAATTATGGCGTTTCAGGTGACAAGTACATGACGGTGATTACTGATAACGAGTATACGAAGCACATGGTACTGAAGATACGTAATGTTACCTCGAAAGACTTTGGTTCGTACAAATGTGTCGCACAAAATTCATTGGGTGCAACGGACGGTGTTATCAAGTTGGACGGTGAGTCGATATGATATTTTCGTTCGATTGCTTTTCTATAAAAAAAAAAAAAAAAAAAAAAAAA